TTTCTATCCTATCCTATCCTATCCTATCCTATCCTATCCTATCCTATCCTATCCTATCCTATCCTATCCTATCCTATCCTATCCCATGCTGTGCCATGCCATATTCTAAATGGGCTGCTGAATATGAGCTAGTTAAAAATAGAGTAAAATATAAAACCTCAAAAATGCTTTATGCCACCTCAGAGGCAAGTGTAATATTTTAAGAAACACTTCACTGTACTACCTGTATTTGGATTTAAGGGAATCCTGCTAGCAAAATATTTACTGTATTCTGTCTTGAAAATTAAACTTATTGCACACAATCCAGCAATACTTGGATTACATTTTGCAGACAATGTAATGAAATGTAAACTGAGTTACTATTCAGTGTAACCTAGCATTCCACTTCATAATTAACAGCCTTCCAATATGCATATAGAGGAAGTAAATTAGAATCATTTTCGAGTTTAGATAGGACAATACCACCTGAAATGAGAGACACAAAACCTTCTTAGTTACCACTTGTATACATATGTGTGTGCGTGTATTTGCACATGCACACTGACATGCATACACAAGGGAAATGAACAAACAAGTAGTAAGCAAAGCCATCATTAATTATTATAGACAATCTCTTAAGAGATACATATCTACCTCTTCATTTTCCTACTATGTGTCCAAGTCCAAATTCAATCCTAAATCATATTAAATAGATGATTTTGAAAAGATTATTAAAAGTCAGTGTCTGTGCATTTGGGATGAAAAGTGAATTCGGGGAAGGATTGAACTTGTTCACTGCAGATTATAATAATCTAAGTATCTACACATAAACTCTGTGACTAAGTTCTCACTGTAACCAGTGAAGATCTGGTGTATGTGGTCAGAAGAGACAAGGGCTTTTTAGTTCAGCCTAAGTAGTCACCTGTACCTGATGAGCTGAGTAGCTCTCTACAGTCCACTAACACTACTGATTCCAGTCTATCTGAAGTAGCTGGTGTTAATCACCAAAATATTATTGAAAACATTTAAAATAAAATTATGGTATAATTATAAATATTATTCTCGTGTAATTTGTGCACTAGTATTTGATTGGATTTCTTGTCTTGTTGAGCCATCACCCCCAGGATCAAGACTGCAGAATTCATATCCAGCAGGATCTGAAGTGGGTTACGCTGGTATGAGATTTTTCACACCCATGAAACTAAGACTTGCTAGCTAACTGAGGAATATGGATAATTAATCCAACAGTATCCCCGGCTGCATCAAAAGAGGGGTGGCCATCAGGGTGAGGGAGGTGACTGTCCCCTGCTGCACTGCCTTTGTGAGGTCCCTTTTGGAGTACTGCATCCAGGCCTGGGATTCCCAATACAGGAGGGATGTGGAGCCCTTTGGAGTAGGTCCAAAGAAGGCCACAAAGATGATTCTTCTATGAAGAAAGGCTGAAGAAGTTGGGCTTGTTTAGCTTTCAGAAAAGAAGGCTCTGGGGAAACCACACTGTAGTCTTCCAGTATTCAAAGGGAACTTACGAGGGGGACCAAATTTTGATATGGTCTGATTGTGATAGAACAAGGGGGAAGGGATTTAAAATAAAAGAGGAGAGATTTAGATCAGATGTTAGGAAGAATTTTTTTACTCAGAGAGTGATGAGATGATGTAACAAGTTGCCCAGAGATGTGGTGGATGTCCCATCACAGGAGGCATTCAGGATCAGGGTGCAGGGGTACCCGGGCAGTCTGATCTAGTGGTTGTCAACACTGCCTAAGGCAGGGGGGTTGGAGCTTTAAAATGGGAAGATCTTTAAAAATCCCTCTAACCTCAGATATTCTGTGATTCTATGGTATGATGAATAATATCTTCTGGAGAAAGGACCTTTCTGCTTATGGAATGATTTATCACTGAAAGAAAGGAAAAAAAAAAAAAAAAAAGAGTGAAGAATTTGTGGCCTCTGCTAATCTTTAATGATGTTTTAGAAGCGACAGTTCTATAATAAGGGCTTTCCTTCCTCCTTGCCATGGTAACAAACTATTTCCTGTAATGTTCGGAAGAGATTTAGATTAATGGAGAGACAGAACTGTTTTCTACAAAGCCCTTCAATATATCGTGGAAGACAAGTAACAGAAAAATGTGTGCTGGCGGTAGCTGCTTTTATCTGTTGTCGAGCACAGGGTGGATCGCGCAGCATCAACGCAGACGTCCCGATCGACGCTGGGCTGGAGGCGGCCGGGGGGCTTGGCGGCGCTGCGCAATGCTGCGGGAGCGGAGGGCAGCAGCACCTAGCGGGGATCGGGGCACTGAGCCGAGCTGGCAGTCAGCGCGTCTGCATACTGCAAGCCACAAATATCCACAAATAAGCAGGAAACTGGGATAGGGAACCTATGTGTGTTTCGTTTTGTTGTTGTGTTGTTTTTGCTTTTTTTTTTTTCAGGACAGGATTTTGTTGAGATTGGGGACTGTAATAAAAAAGGTTATTTGAGGATGTAAAAAGGTTTTGTCTTTCCTTGGAACGTCCAAGTGATAAGAAAATAACACAGGACAGGTGATTTCTCCCCAAAACTTGACTGTCATTGTGATCTTAGAATTCCTAAATAGGTATATTTCACAGAGCTTTAAAAAAAGTTACTGTGGCTATATAAAGAGTCATTAAAGGTGATGGGATTAAGACATGGTTACAGCCAGCAATCACACCTGTACTGCTAGACTTGCTCATTTTCAGACTTTTAGCATGAGTAAATTAAAATGGGAAGGAAGGAAGGAAGGAAGGAAGGAAGGAAGGAAGGAAGGAAGGA